GTGGATTTGGATCCACTTGTATCCCGTCGTCTAGGTAAATTCGCTGCGAAGTCCTTGACGATGTAGGTGCACAACCAGGTGTGACTGCCATCGTTGAACTTTATGTAAAAAATCGCCTGACTGCCGTACCCTCGTCCTTACTTGACAGGGGAGGTCTCTAACCTCAAGAAGGCAGCCCAATCATGAAGGTTCAGATTAGCTGGACTGTAAGGAGGCTTGCTCGTTCACTGATATATTGTTGTCACTTGCAACCTAAGTCTTGAACTGTGAACTATGATCGACCTCTGCGTAGGGCGTTGTCCATCGCGGTCCAATCAGAACAAGGCATTTTGATTCTGTAGAGTACCCGCGCTGTGATGTCACCGGTGTAGCAGGAAAAGGAACCTTGTATAATATAGTGCCATCGTTGATATTAGAACAATCGTCGGTCTTCACCGTAGCTTCCCGAAGTTACCCGGTGACCACGTGTTTCGAGGGTTAATGGTAAACGCGCGAAACCTCCGGCGCGAAATACCTCGCTCTGTAATATTAATGCTGGGTAGGTTATTTTCCTGGTTGTCGTGAAAGTAACTTCAGTCTTGAAGATAATTCCGACTTCCTTATATAAAGGTTCAATAAAACTTGCAAGTTGACAGCTTGTAGACTGTATACATGAATGTATCGTCATAATTGTAGAATTAAAGCTGAACTTGTTGTACATATTTCTTCTCAGAAATCGTTGACGATTATGAGTTATACTCGCTGTAACAAGGCTGCTGTTCAATTTCGATATTGAATTGTCTGCAGATCTGCGTAATGGTCACGCATGTAGATAATCGTATCGTAGTCCGGGATTGCATACCTAGCAATCTATACGGAAAAGTTGATTCCTGTGAAGATCTACGAAACGTCGTTGACTAAATAATACAACGACATTCTGTGTTGTAAATAGCCTGTGCAATTGCTTCGCGTAGGCTTGTAGACGGCATATGGCATACAGTTGATAGACAACTCATGCGATGTCTTGAACGGACTGACGAGTGGCTATATATGACGAGTGGATAGTATATGGAGACTTTGGAGGAGACTTCCTCGGCGAACGCCGGTGACTTCGCGAAGCTCTCGAAGTATGCCTTCTAGATCTTCTGGGTGAAGTAGACTTGGAGCCACTTAGCCTTCGCGACCTTCGCGAAGGTATCGAGTCAGAGCCCGATCAATATATATGTGTGCTTGCTTCGCAAACGACCTCTGTGTTCTACAGGGTGTGGGCTCGGCGAAGCGCTACTCCTCCGCGATGTCCCTCGCAACTGGTGAGGCTCTAGCTCCTTCGCGGAGGCGGCCAGGGACTTCCTTAGCGAAGTGTTCGCTATGGGCTGGGTTGCCCTTCGCGGAGGCTTTTCCCTGGATGACCTTCTGGACGAAGATGACTTGGAGCCTGTTACTGGTGCCCTTCGTGAAGACCTTCGCGAAGCTTCATCTGCGTCCGGTCCTGGGGAGCGACGACTTGACCTTCGCGAAGGCTTTCGTGAAGTCTGGGGGTCCGAGTCAGAGTCCAGGGATGAGGTGATCTTCCTTCTCGAGCCTTTATGTGAGTGTTGATCATCAGAGTCCGAGGTAGGTGATGATCTAGAAACCCTTCGCGAAGGCTGTACATCTGGGTCCTTCGTCGAGGTGGTCTGTGACTTCCTTCGCGGAGGTGGCTTAGTCGTGGCCGCTACGTTGACGGGGGGTCCCTCTGGGATGTCGTCTACATTGGAGCCTTCGCGAAGGCTCAGGCTCTGGGCTGGTTGTCTATCCAGTCTGCAACGGTCCTCCATCATCTTCATGATTTGCCGCATCAGGTCGTCTGGGACGGTCTGTGAAGATGTAGTCGGTGCCCTCTCTGCGATGTTAGCGACGGGGCCCTCAGGAAGATCATCCGACATCAGTGTAGACACATCAGGCTGCATGGCGATCTGTGCTGACGTCACTGTTGCCGACACCGGTCGTCTCTTGTGGCGTAGATCGGGTATGATGATCGGCTGATCATCATACAGGCCCAGTTCAGCGGCGGGAACAATCTCGGCTGAGAACGTTCTTGAAGACTTCGTAGATTTCCCCTTGGAGGTAGACGCTGCCCTGGGGGTACGGAGTCTGCGTTGAGTAGATGTCGAGGCCCTCTTAGACTTTGGCTGCGATGACGGGATGTCTGGGGAAGCAGGACGCTTCTTGGAGACGGCGGACTGCATCCCACGCCCCTCCTCCGAGGGAAACTCTAGCAGAACACCAGACGGGAGGGGGTCGTCCGACAGCAGCTGACTGGCTAGGGGGTCCGATGTATCGGCCATGGCTAAACCTTGTTTGCGTGACCTATCTGCTGCACGTCTCAAGACGCAAAGATGATATTTATTAAATGCAGAATTAGATAGATTAATACCGTAACTGCAACGTGAAGAAAACGCACAAGGCGTAGTACAGCTAGGGCATATTAAATGCGGGTGAGCATAATCTACAAATAGTACAGATTTTCATCAACGTAAACTAGCTGAACAATCACGGAATCCCGTGAATAAACAGTAGAAATACGAATAATTATCAATACATATTGATGAAGGATACTAGCTACATCTCTATAGTAAACTATAAGAGGTAACTGACTAAGAATAACCAAAGGATATAGTGTGTAGGGAGACACAGGCGCTCTCACATCCTGCTCACTGGGCGAAGAAGGAGAGAGTGAGGCACATGGGTGGAGGTGGCTCCCTCGTTCCCGCGCTTGTGGAAGGGAGGTAACTCGTGGTGAGTACTAATTAGTGATTTTTTATTGAAGGGAACTTCAATTAGGGAGATACAAGTGTTCCACAATGTTCGCAAGAAGAAGAAGACAAGCAAGCAATAAGCATGAGTCAGGATAAGGAAAAATACGGTAACTTTAAATCGCTAAATCTGGATAAAAAAATGAAAAGCCTGCAACTTCGATTTTATGCATGCGCTCATGGAAGAGGAAGTCTCTACCTCATGATGACATTTTCCAGCTTGGACAAAACGTGATTGCTTACATTCCCTTTTTAAAGTATTTCTGTTGTGTAATTTATCATCATCATACCTGTGCGCACACTTGTTTAGTTTACTTTCCATTCATATGAAATGATTGACAACAATTATTTCAACACATTCAATACTATTTCTACGCGAGGTGATTGGCGGTTGCTTGGAAATTTGAAGAAGTGCGGATCGTAACGCGCATGTGCAGTAGAGGTCAAAGTTTGCTAATATAAAAATGTTGCAGTTTCATAGTCTTTCGTTACCGTTTTAACTGTTTCAGTAGCGAATTATTATGTTTATGTTGCTATTTCCACGATTAATGTGGACTTTTTTTGGGTAGGCCTAGCCTAAACACAGTAGTGACCGGAAGCATGGCCAACAACTAACAAAGCTGGTGTACAATGGGGAGCAATCAGCCATTTTAGTCTCACAAGTAGCTTTTCAGTATGATAAAATGATGACCTGCTCTGAGCTGGAATCCCTGAAAGAGACACTGTTAAAGGTCACATGCAACCAAAAAATCAAACATAATTAAAACACAATTATCACTTATTCATGACATATAATATACATTGCTGGTTATGAAAAAACATATAAACAAAATTATAAGCGTACAATCGCAAATCAAAAGTGCAATATTGTGTACTTGGGTTTACTTCCCAAGAAACGAAGCAGCCGGGATACCTAACCCAGTCAGAGCGGTGGGTGTGCACTCAAGTGTAACGGCTGGTTCATTTGCAGATGCCCTCACGGCTCATTGTGTGTGTGTATATATAGAGATGTTGGGTTTTGTAAATACATGCTCATATTTTGTGTATAACATTTTACAATCAACAGACATCATAACATGTCATGTGTTCAAGTATCACACCTGCCTGTCTGTGTAATTACATAATGTGACAGATCGAACTCAGGCCATAAATCAATGCATTTTGTTTATGGTGTATAGCCTGATTGGTGTTAAGTTCAAATTGCATGTGGTCAGTGATAGCAGCTGTGTATTGAATATTGTCATTAGCAGACAGGCAGGCAGACACACAGGTGTCAATAAAACAAGACATTGAGTTTTGTCTGTGACAACGACATATCTATATCACAGTTAGAAATTCTGTCAACGCTAAATAATGACATTGCTTTTAAGTATCGAACTGAGAAAGTGACTCAGTAAGAAGAACGTGTGGTGAAATAGACAAATGAAATTATATAAACAGTTAATTTACTGTCATAACATATAAAAGCTCGCTACCTGTGAGATATCAACAAAACATTAGAAAAATAGCTCACACCAAAGCCTTCACCGAGTATTCACCGGACAACCCCCTTCAAATCTGCGCGAACCTATTTCACTCCGCACGTGCTATGAGCGCAGCCCAGCTGTTGAAACCCGTTTTCCAGGGGAAAATTAGTGAAAGGTTTGAACTCCGATTTCGCGCAGTTTTTTCATCGCGTTATTTTTCAACTTTATAGGTTGAATTTGCATTTTTGATGATTTGTTTTGGTAAGTCCATACCGAAAGGTATCAGAATCTGCAAAGTTGTGTTTTACGTTGCATGTGACCTTTAATAATCTATGACTAGTCATGATTCATACTTTCACATCAAAACTCAGAGACAGAGTGTTATCAAACCCATGTAAGTTGTGAGACAAAAAAATAAATCCATCTTCACTATTTATGTAATTTTGACACTGGACAAGATCACAGTTAAAATTACATTATCTCCATAGGTGTAATACTGACATAAGCCATGACACAATTGACGTCGCCTAATCACAAAGCAAAGTAATGCTGTCATTATATGCAGCATGATTAACATTCCCTAATCACAAAGCATGAAATACTCACATAGCGGGACAACACAAATAAACTTCCTTAATCACAACTTATGCAATATTAACACCACTGGACAACACAAATACAATTCCCTAGTCACAATACATGCAGTATTGGCACTGATCGACACCACAGTGAAAACTCCCTTATCACAATGTGCACTCACCCCAACCTCTCCCCCGTTCTCCAGGAACTTGCACGCATCCTCCATGGCCAGTAAAGCACACTTCCTGCAGGGGAATCAGTACACGTGTTACACTTGCTGTAATTATCTAGTCTCATTAGTTGGTGATTACTTTCATGACGTAGAATCAAGTAATTAAATAGTATCATTAGTTGGTGATTACTTTCATGACGTAGAATCAAATAATTAACTAGTTTCATTAGGTGGTGATTACTTTAATGTCTTATGTACAGGCAGTGGGTCATGCCAAGAAATCATGCAGGCCTCAGAGAAATTACAATGATAATTATATTAGAACACAATATTCATTTGTAATTACATAGATTCAGTGAAACACTTTTGTGATAGAGAATTGTTGTTCTTATGAAAATTGTAGATTTTGCTGGTTTTAGGAGTGTACTAGTTAACCACTGACTAAGTTGATTAATTGCAACATTGGAATGTTGGTAGGTGAGATATTCCTACTGACGTTCGTATCTCCTGGGCCTCCTTGTTGTCTGGGCGGAAGAAGTCATGGCTGCGGTATTTGTTGGTAGCTGCACGACGATACTCTCCAACATTGAACACTGGAACACAACAGAAACACTCTAGCAAACACTCAAGGTGATGACAAGGCATTCATATATGTTGACATGTATTTAGAGACATGGAATAGAACAATTAAAGAAAGTTCAAGGTATAAACTTTACAGACAATATAAAAGCCTTTTAGAACCAGAAAAATATTTAACTTTGTTAACAAATGAAAAACAGAAATATTCTTACTAGGATCAGAGCAGGAATATTAAAATTAAAGGTTAACGAGTGACAGTGGTTGGGAGTTGCTTTTAATCAACGTATTTGCCCCATATGTAATAAAGGAATAGAAGATGAATTTCATTTTATACTTATATGTGAATGTTAAAATAATCTAAGAAACTGTTATTTACCACAAATGCACAATGACAATCCGTCTATGTATAAATTTCATCAATTGTTATATCCTACATCAAAGGAATTATTAAATAATCTTGGTAAATATTTATGTTTGAGCTTTGAGCTAAGGCAGCGGCTAGTTGATGGATAATCTATTTTGTATTTCACCATGGCCCTTATGCTATAGTACACATGTTCATAATGTAGCTATGCTATATTCATCATTGGGGGATCAGTGTGTGTGTGTGATGTCTGGGTACGACACACACACACACACACACACACACACACACACACACACACACACACACACACACACACACACACACACACACACACACACAGACACACACACAGACACACACACACACACACACACACAATTCCTGGATCTGCCCATGTTCATCTTTATAATAATTATGTGTATGTTTGTACATGGGCGAGGGCCTTTATACGAAATAAAAGGCTGACTTGACTATAAACCAGTTGTTTACTCTGGGTTCATAAGCTGCAGCAAACTGACTTCTCAGATGTTCCCAGATTCTACCGATGTGAGGTTTTTACCAATATTCTGTTCTGTTATGGTGATAATGTCGTGCAAGGAACCTATTGTTCTATTATGATGAGACAGTAGAGCATGGGAACCTGTTGTTCTATTATGATGAGACAGTAGAGCATGGGAACCTGTTGTTCTATTATGATGAGACAGTAGAGCATGGGAACCTGTTGTTCTATTATGATGAGACAGTAGAGCATGGGAACCTGTTGTTCTATTATGATGAGACAGTAGAGCATGGGAACCTGTTGTTCTATTATGATGAGACAGTAGAGCATGGTAACCTGTTGTTCTCCTGGAGTAAGATACTATAGTCCGTTTGCAGCAGAATCGTACTGATAATAAGTTTACATTCGAAAGCAACAAATCATCTTAAATGGCATGAAAGTTAGTCATTTGTTCATACCAAATCATCACTATAATTTCAGACATAATTGGCATGAAGAAAATTAAACATTGTTTAACAAATGATCATGTAAATGTTCATGATTTAATGACTGTTGTAACAAGGGGGAGTCAGTTGTGCATATGGGCATATATTGTTACAAGTGGCCTGTCTGTCCTCTTACAATGATAACTTTGTTACTTTTGATGAGACTGAAGAGCCTTATGAAATGTTATGCTACTTTTGATGAGACTGAAGAGCCTTATGGCCTGCTATGTTACTTATGATGGGACTGAAGAGCCTTATGGCCTGCTATGTTACTTATGATGGGACTGAAGAGCCTTATGGCCTGCTATGTTACTTATGAGGGGACTGAAGAGCCTTATGGCCTGTTATGTTACTTATGATGAGACTAAGGAGCCTTATGGCCTGCTATGTTACTTATGATGGGACTGATGGGACTGAAGAGCCTTATGGCCTGCTATGTTACTTATGACGGAACTGAAGAGCCGTATGGCCTGCTATTTTACTTATGATGGGACTGAAGAGGCTTATGACCTGCTATGTTACTTATGATGGGACTAAAGAGCCTTATGGCCTGTTATGTTACCGAATGATTGGACTGAAGCACCTTATGGCCTGCAATGTTACCGAATGATGGGACTGAAGAGCCTTATGGCCTGTTATGTTACTTATGATGGGACTAAAGAGCCTTATGGCCTGCAATGTTACCTATGATGGGACTGAAGCACCTTATGGCCTGCTATGTTACTTATGATGGGACTAAAGAGCCTTATGGCCTGCTATGTTACTTATGATGGGACTGAAGCACCTTATGGCCTGCTATGTTACTTATGATGGGACTGAAGAGGCTTATGGCCTGCTATTTTACTTATGATCGGCCTAAAGAGCCTTATGGCCTGCTATGTTACTTATGATGGGACTGAAGTGCCTTATGGCCTGCTATGTTACTTATGATGGGACTAAAGAGACTTATGGCCTGCTATGTTACTTATGATGGGACTGAAGCACCTTATGGCCTGCTATGTTACTTATGATGGGACTGAAGAGGCTTATGACCTGCTATGTTACTTATGATGGGACTAAAGAGCCTTATGGCCTGCTATGTTACTTATGATGGGACTGAAGCGCCTTGTGGCCTGTTATGTTACTTTTGATGAAACTGGAGAGCCTTGTGTTATTTGTGAAACAGGATGTTGAAAATTAATGTACTCTTAAAAACTTGCAGCGTGCTGTGACTACGGCAGCCTTACATGCAACACCAGATACACACCATGATTGAAAATGGAAGAACTCAAGCAAGCAGGCCTTTCTGAACTTTGAACAGGATTGCTACAGTCCCAGCTTTTGATTGAAACGAGCTAGTTAACACTTAAAAGATGCATGTTGGTGTATCATATTTCTCAAGCTCCAGACTTTGGGTATACATGCTACCTGAAACATTATAAGGGAAGTGTAAAAAGCAAAGACTGGAGTCCCTGAGGTTTCCTGACTTACACTAACAGGGATGAGAATGTGGTATGAGTGAAAAGGAGGAATATGACCCGGGGGTCTTGGGGGCTGCAGGTCCCATTATGCCAGACCTAAGTTTCATAAGAATGACATCAGTGCAATCAAATCTGTGGAATTCCGTGGACCACATTCTTAAAACATTTAGGCAGAACAGAATTATGAAATGGATCCTATTACCGCTTAATTTTCCAGCACTGAACATTCACAGAGTGGCTCCAGGTGAGGCTGCTCTGTGCTGGGCTATAAATACACTAAAAGCAACATGGTGTATCTACAGTATCAGTAGGTCCAGGCTAGGAATAGCATCCCCTCCCTCACAACCCTTACTTTAGCCACCACTTGGCAGCAGCAGCACCTGCACACCTCCACAAAACACTTACATCATCATTGTTCAAGTACCCACTTTTGAACCATTGCATAAAAACATTTCAGAAATAAAAATTTCACAAAGAGAATTATTGTGAACAATATCCTCCTGGCAAGGCGACGTTTCACAAAGTGATAGCTCTGTATTAAGTTCACAGGAAGGTTCACTGGTTTTCAGTAGTAGCAGGTTTCTCTCACCCATTCTTCAGTTCATCGGTGGTGCTTACTCTCTTTATACTGTAGACATTACAGTCGTCAACACAAACATTTCCCCTGAACAGAGCACTGTCTGAGATTACAAATAGAAAACAACAACAGGACAATAGAGTCTGAAAGATATCAACTGCTCTAGCTTGCTTAAGTTTTCAGATATAGTTTTCTGTTGATACCTATGTCAGGAAAACACAATAAAAATCCTTTTATTGACCCATGAGATAGGTAAATGTGGATGATGTGAACAAAGCAAACGACTCAATCTACATCTGTTATGGACAAGGTCTGATGACTAGACGGTGGATCCAATGTGTAGACTATACAGCCAGCCCTGGGTAACCTAGCAACAGTCAGTCATTATTGGTGTGTGTGTTTGACACAGAGTCCTAACTCCCACATTCATAACGGTCACGGTTGATGACTCTGATGTATAGAACACAGTTGGCCCTGAGATGACATGCCACAGTCAAGGCTGATGGATCCATGTGTAGAACACAGTTGGCCCTGAGATGACAAGCCACAGTCAAGGCTGATGGATCCATGTGTAGAACACAGTTGGCCCTGAGATGACAAGCCACAGTCAAGGCTGATAGATCCATGTGTAGAACTCAGTTGGCCCTGAGATGACAAGCCACAGTCAAGGCCCATGTGTAGAACACAGTTGGCCCTGAGATGACAAGCCACAGTCAAGGCTGATGGATCCATGTGTAGAACACAGTTGGCCCTGAGATGACAAGCCACAGTCAAGGCTGATGGATCCATGTGTAGAACACAGTTGGCCCTGAGATGACAAGCCACAGTCAAGGCTGATGGATCCATGTGTAGAACACAGTTGGCCCTGAGATGACAAGCCACAGTCCAGGCTGAGATGACAAGCCACAGTCAAGGCTGGATGTATAGAACACAGTTGGCCCTGAGATGACAAGCCACAGTCAAGGCTGATGGATCCATGTGTAGAACACAGTTGGCCCTGAGATGACAAGCCACAGTCAAGGCTGATGGATCCATGTGTAGAACACAGTTGGCCCTGAGATGACAAGCCACAGTCAAGGCTGATGGATCCATGTGTAGAACACAGTTGGCCCTGAGATGACAAGCCACAGTCACAGTCAAGGCTGATGGATCCATGTGTAGAACACAGTTGGTTGGCCTGAGATGACAACAGTCAAGGCTGATGGATCCATGTGTGGAACACAGTCAGATGACATGCCACAGTCAAGGCTGATGGATCCATGTGTAGAACACAGTTGGCCCTGAGATGACAAGCCACAGTCAAGGCTGATGATCCATGTCACAGTTGTGACAAGCCACAGTCAAGGCTGATGAATCATGTGTAGAACACAGTTGGCCCTGAGATGACAAGCCACAGTCAAGGCTGATGGATCCATGTGTAGAACACAGTTGGCCCTGAGATGACAAGCCACAGTCAAGGCTGATAGATCCATGTGTAGAGATGACACACAGTTGGCTGATGGATCCTGAGATGACATGCCACAGTCAAGGCTGATGGATCCATGTGTAGAACACAGTTGGCCCTGAGATGACATGCCACAGTCAAGGCTGATGGATCCATGTGTAGAACACAGTTGGCCCTGAGATGACATGCCACAGTCAAGGCTGATGGATCCATGTGTATCACAGTGTGACATGCCAGTCAAGGCATGAGATCAGTTGGAACCAGTTGGCCTGAGATGACATGCCACAGTCAAGGCTGATGGATCCATGTGTAGAACACAGTTGGCCCTGAGATGACATGCCACAGTCAAGGCTGATGGATCCATGTGTAGAACACAGTTGGCCCTGAGATGACATGCCACAGTCAAGGCTGATGGATCCATGTGTAGAACACAGTTGGCCCTGAGTTGAAATGCCAGTCAAGGCTATATCTCCGATGTAGAAAACAGTTAGCCATAAGACTGGTTATGCCTACACAATGAAGCTGGTCTTTATGACAATGTCAATAAGGGAACAGCTTGCTTTGATGTGGTTAGATATAACAATGTCAAGCACAGCCTGACGCATGTACGGAAGATTATATTTAATTCATGTTGCAATCTATACATTGTAGTCACCAACACATCAAAGTAGATGTTACCCAGTTACCAGTGGATAGAACACTTAGCAGACTAAAGGACCCTTTATGTTCACTTTTGTTTTCTTACTCAGGGCCATGAGCTACCAAAGTGTTTTGTGACATGTAGAGTTCATATGTTTTGGATAAGCTGAATATATTACCTATAAGGGAAGAATGATCATGTGTAATATAACTTTCTCATAAAACAACATATGCATGTTAGCAACATTATACTAGTCAAGTGAAGGCATTTGGCATCGCGGTACTTCAGTGATGAGAATAATATCACATGATCCCTTCTTCATGACGTCACAAACTCATTAGATTATGTTATCATAACAACAATTAGTCATCAATGAAGTATCTCAGTAGGTTGATAATTAGGAGATAAACATACTGCTATGCGTACAGTTTAAAATTAAATTTAGTGCTGATATAATTTTGTTATATACTCTGATTTTCCAACACTCTATGTTTATCTCCATTCTAAGATAACCTCATTATTAAGATTTTTAAAAAACCAAAGATACTGTGTTGGAATATCACAGGTATATAACATGATTATATACCTCTGAATGACTTTAATTAACCAATCACAATGCAATATTTACTGAAGTCATGGTAGAATTAACATGTTTACATTTTTCCCTGAGAATGCCAATCAGTAATACAAATATAACTCTGAATGACTCATATTGACATATTTCATATCATAAGGGTAACTTCCCTCTGTGGCACATCTCTGTCACACATCACTACTTTCATAGGCCACAGAGGGAAATTGAGTAGAGGCCACATACCACGGGTACAGGTGACCAGTTTCAATTAATGAGGTGTGAATGTGAATCTTTATTATGTGAAGATGTATGTGACAACCTTCACCAGTGTAGCAGTGATCTTTGCTGCAAACAAAACTATAGAAGGGCTCCTGATCTATCAGTGGAGATGGAACATCAAATAATACACTACATTATATCAAACATCAAGTGAATGTGTTATTTTAGTGTAAGATCAATCAAATTGTAGTGTGTCTATAAAATCTGTTTAAATATATTATGGGCTAAAGACTATTTATGTTGTCAGGCAATTAAGCATAATCATCTTGAATGTAGGACTAAAATACTTATCCTTAAGTGCTGACACTGTTTCTACATAAAAAACTGTATATTCTGTTTCATTTAACAGGTAACGTAAACGTTTGCATTTATATTGCTTATTGCCTAAAGTCTTTATGAGAACCACCATCTTCTGAACACATTCAAATCTTATGTCACTTGTACCATCTTTTCTGGGACAGAAGAGGTTCAGGGTTATCAGACTTACACTCTGTTACTCCCCTAACAGGAACAGTATCTCAAGTGTCTTCCACTTTGTACATCCACTTGAAAGGAATAAACCGTTCCCTGGAGATCCCTGAGGCAGAGATGTACCTGCCAGTCTTGAGACTGTCTATTATGGCCACCAACTTTACAACTAATCAAATCGGACTCTGTTATTGTACGGGAATCATTGTCTGTTGTTTCTGTCACAATCTCAATCGGCCATAAGATTCATTAACTGATTCTCCCTCCATAAGCAAAGATGGCTGATAAGGATTTGTGTCAGCTTCATCGGAGAGGCCTAGTGATTACAGGGTTAGACCTCATCCTTCACAATCAATGTGATAATTCCACTCTTGGTGTTCTCTGACTACTGGAATATGTATAATACACGAAACCACAGTGCACATTCTCCAGACCCGTATCACCACCCCTACCTCAGCCCTGGTCTCTTCACATACAATATACACCTTACCTTTCGTACTGACTCCGATCCAGTTCAGGTAGCGTGTCAGCTTCTTGGAGATGTAAGTCTTGCCTCTAGCCGGCAGCCCGACCATGGCAATAACCGTGGGAGCCTGGACAACATGGGGGCAGGATGCTGCAAGATAAAGCTGATCTTAGTACTTCGTATAGATTAGTGTCATACAGTTTGGTACATCACTCCTGCAGCCATGACAAGTCACAGATGTTCTGCTCTCTGATCGGATGCTCTGTCCACGATACCACGGACACCACGGACACACTGACCCCATACAACTAGCAGTATGTAACAACACTATTTCTAACATGAACCATTGATATACGTCTTGCTCTTCGTTTCACCTATGGAACTTAGGGGAGGATTTTTATCTGTCAAACTGAAGAAAACTAGAAAAGTAACAGGGAAGATCATATCAATGGCATTTTCAAACAAAATCCTGCTTTACAATGAGGCAGTGATTCTGCACACAATATTCACAGCAGATTTCATGTACAGGGCAAATGCCATTCCGAAGTTTTATCAAGATCAGTAATAAAACTAACAGACTAAATGGCAACATCAAGTAATCATGCAGCACACTACTGCAATGAAACACATATATTAACACCACTGATCAAAGAAACATGACAGCATTATTGACTGGATTGACAGCAGCTGAAGTCCTTTGTTATGTGGAAGATAACATTTAGTTTGGAGATTTCAAGCTGCTTTTAGCAATATTCCATGGAGGGGACACCTGAATAAGCTAGATAGTTTCCAAACATACTTGAATATTTTCGAATGTTTGAATAGTTTCAACTGGTAAATGAGAATATACTTTTTGTTTACTTATATTTTTTTGTTTGCTATATGTGCAAGATTTACCTGCCTGTTTGTCATGAAATTTGGCTGCACATCCTAACCAATTACTAGTCTTTGAAATTATGCATCAAAGTCTATTTTCCATGTAGCAGCCCAAATGTAATAAGTTCAAGGGGGTGATTAATCTAAAATACTATCAGAGAAAGATTTTGGAACCAATTTGATTTCAGACACAATGTACTTGAACCAGCACCAAACTTCACTTGCTGAACAGCATTGGTAAACGACTGCATCTGACCCAAGTAGGACATAATCATGCTTGCAGTGGCTACATTTGACATGGTACTGTTTTTCACTCAGAACATATCAGTTTACTGCTGCAGCTGTCAGTGAAATACAACCACATCCCACTGACATACACATGAAATACAACCACATCCCACTGACATACACATGAAATACAACCACATCCCACTGACATACACATGAAATACAACCACATACTGACATACACATGAAATACAACCACATCAACTGACATACAACCATGAAATACAACCACATCAACCACATCTGACATACACATGAAATACAACCACATCCCACTGACATACACATGAAATACAACCACATCCCACTGACATACACATGAAATACAACCACATCCCACTGACATACACATGAAATACAACCACATCCCACTGACATACACATGAAATACAACCACATCCCACTGACATACACATGAAATACAACCACATCCCTGACTGAAATACATACATCACTGAAATACAACCACATCCCACTGACATACACATGAAATACAACCAACCACATCCAAATACAACCACTGACATACACATGAAATACAACCACATCCCACTGACATACACATGAAATACAACCACATCCCACTGACATACACATGAAATACAACCACATCCCACTGACATACACATGAAATACAACCACATCCTGACATACACATGACCATACATACATGAAATACACATCCACTGACATACACATGAAATACAACCACATCCCACTGACATACACATGAAATACAACCACATCCACTGACATACACATGAAATACAACCACATCCCACTGACATGAAATACAATACACACCACATCCCACTGACATACACATGAAATACAACCACATCCCACTGACATACACATACATCCCATGACATAACATGACACAACCACATCCCACTGACATACACATGAAATACAACCACATCCCACTGACATACACATGAAATACAACCACATCCCACTGACATACACATGAAATACAACCACATCCCACTGACACATCAACCACATCCCACTGATACACATGAAATAAATAAACCACATCCCACTGACATACACATGAAATACAACCACATCCCACTGACATACACATGAAATACAACCACATCCCACTGACATACACATGACATGACCAATCCAACATACACATGAAATAACCCACTCCCACATGACATACACATGAATTACATAACTACATCCACATACACATGAAATACAACCACATCCCACTGACATACACAAATGATCCCATACACATGAAATACAACCACATCCCACTGACATACACATGAAATACAATACAACCACATCCCACTGACATACACATGAAATACAACCACATCCCACTGACATACACATGAAATACAACCACATCCCACTGACATACATGAAATACAACCAAATCCCAACTGACATACACATGAAATACAACCACATCCCACTGACATACAAATACAACCACATCCCACTGAATACACATGAAATACAACCACATCCCACTGACACATGAAATACAACCACATGAATATACAACCACATCCCACTGACATACACATGAAATACAACCACATCCCACTGAATACAACCACATCCCACTGACATACACATGAAATACAACCACATCCCACTGACATACACATGAAATACAACCACATCCCACTGACATACACATGAAATGAAATACAACCACATCCCACTGACATACACATGAAATACAACCACATCCCACTGACATACACATGAAATACAACCACATCCACTGCACATGACATACATACACATGAAATACAACCACATCCCACTGACATACACATGAAATACAACCACATCCCACTGACATACACATGAAATACAACCACATCCCACTGACATACACATGAAATACCACACCACATCCATGAAATACAACCACTGACATACACACATGAAATACAACCACATCCCACTGACATACACATGAAATACAACCACATCCCATCCAACTGACATACACATGAAATACAACCACTGGCATCCACACTGACATACACATGAAATACAACCACATCCCACTGACATACACATGAAATACAACCACATCCCACTGACATACACATGAAATACAACCACATCCCACTGACATACACATGAAATACAACCACATCCCACTGACATACACATGAAATACAACCACATCCCACTGACATACACATGAAATACAACCACATCCCACTGACATACACATGAAATACAACCACATCCCACTGACATACACATGAAATACAACCACATCCCACTCATACTGAAATACATACACATGAAATACAACCACATCCCACTGAAATACATCCCACTGACATACACATGAAATACAACCACATCCCACTGACATCCCACTGACATACACATGAAATACAACCACATCCCACTGACATACACATGAAATACAACCACATCCCACTGACATACACATGAAATACAACCACATCCCACTGACATACACATGAAATACAACCACATCCCACTGACATACACATGAAATACAACCACATTCCTGACACTGAAATACAACCACATCCCACTGACATACACATGAAATACAACCACATCCCACTGACATACACATGAAATACAACCACATCCATCCCACTGACATATACATGAAATACAACCACATGACATACACATGAAATACAACCACATCCACACATCCCACTGACATACTGACATGAATGATACAACATCCCACTGACATACACACATCCCACTGACATACACATGAAATACAACCACATCCCACTGACATACACATGAAATACCCAACCACATCCCACTGACATACACATGAAATACAACCACATCCCACTGACATACACATGAAATACAAATACAACCACATCCACTGACATACATACATACATCCCACTGACATACAAAATACAACCAACCACATCCACACTGACATCCCACTGACATACACATGAAATACAACCACATCCCACTGGCATACACATGAAATACAACCACATCCCACTGACATACACATGAAATACAACCACATCCCACTGACATACACATGAAATACACATACCCACATCCAACTGATGACATCCCACTGACATACACATACATCCCACTGACACACATGAAATACAACCACATGAAATACAACCACATCCCACTGACATACACATGAAATACAACCACATCCCACTGACATACACATGAAATACAACCACATCCATGAAATACACTGACATACACACACATGAAATACAACCACATCCCCACTGACATACACATGAAATACAACCACATCCCACTGACATACACATGAAATACAACCAATCCCACTGACGACACACATCCCACTGGCACATACACATGAAATACAACCACATCCCACTGACATACATGAAATGAAATGACATACACCACATCCCACTGACATGAAATGCAACATCCAACTGACATACATGAAATACAACCACATCCCACTGACATACACACATGAAATACAACCACATCCCACTGACATACACACAAATACAACCACATCCCACTGACATGCATGAAATACAACCACATCCCACATACACATGAAATACAACCACATCAACTGATTACATGAAATACAACCCCACTGACATACATGAATACAACCACATCCCACTGACATACACATGAAATACAACCACATCCCACTGACATACACATGACAACCACATCCCACTGAATACACACAAATACAACCACATCCCACTGAAATACAACCACATCCCACTGACATGAAATACAACCACATCCCACTGACATACATGAAATACAACCACATCCCACTGACAATACACATGACATACAACCACATCCCACTGACATACACATGAAATACAACCACATCCCACTGACATACACATGAAATACAACCACATCCCACTGACATACACATGAAATACAACCACATCCCACTGGCATACATCACATGAAATACAACCACATCCCACTGACAT